GGGGGGGGGGGGGAGGTAGGGGCACTTAACCTGTGCCCCAAGGAGTAGAGTTGGTTTACAAAATGATCCCAGAAAATAGTGTCAGTGTACTGTCACTACTGTGTAAGTAGTGTAAAGACACAAAACGAAACACACAAGGAAGCACTAAGACAAAAGTATATTATTCCACAAACAAGTTTTTATGGGATAAGTATTACTTCCTCTATCCTGTTGGGGTTTTCCAACTTGTTCGGGCACAAAGATTGAGAAATATCAAGGTTGCGTGGTTTGAAGTTTGTTGAGAAGAAAAAAAATCATATGAACTGCAAATTTCATTCCTTAAATAGAAAGTCAAAAAATGTTTTTAAAAGAACAAAGAAGGAATGTTGGAAGACTCGAGGAGGAGGGAGGGAGTATATAGTGTATACAGTTCACGAAACTGAAACCAAATCTTTTTAAAGATTCCACAACCTAGAAGATACACGAGTTGAGAAACATCATACAACAAAGATACAAACAGGGAAATATGTTTGATTTTAAAAACAGATATAGTATCAAAAGTCGAAATTTTAATTCAAAGAGCCAACTCGGCGGACTTGCCAAGAAGTGGCAGCTAATTCCTATGCAAAGCAAACATCAAAACCTCTTTTTTAGCATTTGAAAGTAAAAAATAAAGGCAAGACTTGTGGTTACTACTTTCCCTAACTGTTGAGATGATTGTGGTTCTTCAATGTTAATCAATTTAAAGAAAATAACATTCTGCATAAAAAAGGACAGTGAAAAGAGTAATAGACTCTCACAGGCGAAAGATTGGTTAGAAATGGCTAAAGACTACAACTTTCTACAAGGCAATGAAGGGAGAAAACCAAATTCTTTACTTATCAAATGGGAAATAATACGAATCACAGAGGAAGTAATTTAAATAAGATATGAATGAATGCAACATATATAGCATAATAAGAATTAGCATATATGACCACTCGTCTACAAGTTTATACAACATTTTACCTCTCCTGGTTCTACGGTTATTACGTGGGGTGTGAAACCAATCCCAGCAGACCCTGTCCACCAAAACACAACTCAAATCATAATTAAAACCGAAAAGAATCTTTAAAAAGAACATCAAAGAGAGTAAAAGGGCAGTAGGATTCAACACACCAAGAGCATCCATCTGTTTCTTTACTGAGCCAGGCGGCCTCCCACGGGCTTTCTTGGCCTGGTTCTCGGACGAGAGAGTTTGGGCAGCTGCGCTGGAACCCGGCCCGCCCGAGTCCTGCCCGCCCATGGATGAAATTGGAGTGACCGGAGTAGGAGACAGTCCCAGAGCAATGTTGCCGTCAGGTGAATACTTCCTGGGCCGGCCCCTCTTCTTCCTGGCGGGCTCAATGCTGCTGAAACATGGCGCCCCAGGCGAGGGCGCGTCCGAATAATCCACTGGGGCGGGTTTCTGAGCCGTGCCCGGGCCCACGGAGGCAGGACCCGCCATGGAACTGAAAGGAAACCTAGGGTTCTGTTGCGGCTGATGCTGAGATTGCTGCTGCTGCTGCTGATGGTGATGGTGAAGCATCATGGCGCTGTTGGGTATGGCGGCGGTGTAGGAGTTGTGCTGCTGCTGCTGCGGCGGCACCATCTGGTGGTGGTGGTGGTGGAACTGCGCCTGCGGGTGGTGGAGGGTCTGGTGGTGGTGGTGGTGGGACAAAGGGAGTTGGGAATCTTGGGAATCCATTGCTGGGATTGTTCAAGAAAACACAAAGAAATGAATCAAACAACTGAACTAATCAGTCCCAAGAAGAAAGATAGAGTAAAGGGGTTCTTGAAATGGCGGTGGATTTGGGGACGATTCTACTGCCTGCACCCAAAAACCTAGAAGTGGGGAGGAAGAAGAAGAAGAAGGTGGAAGGGAAACGAGAACTCCGCTAAAAGCATCATCACTCCCTACAGTGGAAGAGTTCTAAATTCAATATGCATCTGGGGGTGAGACTTTAGAGAAATCTAATTAATTAATGATCTCAAATGTATTGGAGGATGCAACAATAAGTAGATCTATCTTTGAATCTAACAACCCTTTTTGAGTGTTTTTTATCTACTCTACTTCACTCAAACAAAACATGTTCACACTTTCTTCTTTCTTGAACCTTCAAAAAATAAATTTTGATTTCATCTTTATTCAAAGAAATAAGAGCTACTCCTTCCGTTTGCAAAAATACTTCCCATTTTGATTTAGGACAAAAATAAGGAATTGTGAAATTATACGAGTAGTTGATTTCCAATTTGTTCATGATGTGATGAGTAAAAGTAAGATGTGATGGATAGATTATTAGAGAAAAAATATGATGTGATAGGTAGAGTATAAAAAAATAACGGTAAAAGTGATTTTTTAATAGAAAGAGGAAATGTTTTGTTGGAAGTGGAAAAAATGAAAGAGAAAGTGTTTTTGAGAACGGAGGGAGTACCACTTAAATATTACTTCCTTCGTCCTAATTTATATTACATATTTTCATTTGGCGATGTATTACTGAAATTATTTTCAAGTCATTTTATGTTATCAAAAAATATACTCCACAAAACTAGTCGTGAAAATGAATATTTTATTTTATCAAATGACTATCGAAAAAAAGAAAAAAAGTAAATAAAATTAGATGTTGTTAATAGTAAACATGCAATTTAATTTGCGACGGAGTGAGTAAACTATTATATAAAAAATTATACAAAAAAATGAAGAAGAAAAATTTATTATAATTAATAATTAATGAAAACAATCAAGTAAAAAACTTATAGAAAGAACATAATAATGTACTTTGGGACGAAGAGAGTAGAACCTCGGTGCACCATAGATTTTTGTTTTGTATTGTTTTATGGTATTTTAAGTGTTACTTTTATGATTTTCTATATACAAATTAAATTTCAAACACATACTACCTTCGTCCAAAAATTTCTTTCCCGATTAGACTTGGTACAGAGATTAAGAAAAATTAAAAAGTGTAAAGAAATTTTGCCAAATTAAGAAAAATGAAATAAATTTTTAGATGGAAGGAGTACTATTTTTTTACATTTCACCAAACATTTTTTGTTTCTTAATAATATTCTTACATTTAGTAAAGTCAAACATGCAGGTTCTTTTAGTGATGAATAACAAAAAATGCACATCATTTCTTTTAGAATTACATAATTTTACGTAAATGCTTCAAGATTTAATAAATGACATCAATACTCTAAAAAAATTTCATATTTAAATCACTGCTCCAATAATTATAGATGTTTATATTTGTGCTATAAATGTTTGTAATATGTACCGTATAACCGGTTGTACAGTATTTCCTTAACATCCACAACAAATGTTTATTTATGAGTAACCCAGTGATTATTTTCGAGCAAGTGAATACTTATTCTTGAGTAATAGAATACTCAATTCTCTAATATTCAATTATGCTAAAAAATGAGCATTCAGTTTTCTGAAAATGAATATTTTGTTACTTGAATTTGAGTACTTAGTATTCGACAATGGGTATTCATCAAATGTACGAAAAATACCGTAAATCCAAATGTATGGTAGAAGTACTCCCAAGTGTTGAGATATTGATGCAATTATTTTAGAGTAATGATACGAGTTTTTCATACAAGCGAGACAACCCCAAATATAATTGGGCCTTCATTTTTCTTCGCCGAACTCAATCTATTGTTTTGGCAAAAACGGGTTTGGCCTGACCCAAGTTTCTAAAACATTGGGTTGAAGATCCGGTGGGGCAAAGCCCGTCTCAGACTGGTTTCCTGACTTTCCCCAAATGGACATTCAAGCTCCGTGTAACGCTTGCTACTCTCTCCACGGGCGGCGGGCACTTCACGCGCCGCCGTACTTCGTTAACTTCCATTTGAACTCCGCCAGACGCAGCCACAAAGTGACTTCAGAGCTGCGACCACTGGCCGCCGTCGCCGCTCCAAGCGCTTCCAGCTATCCCCTCTCGAAAGTTCCCGCTCACAAGGTCACCGTTCACGACCGTCAGCGCGGCGTCGTTCATGAGTTCTTCGTTCCAGAGGTATCCATTCCAGAAATTCATATGAAAAATAGACATAATGCAGGATTATGATAGAAACTGATCACAATTTCAGCAGATGTAGCTTAGACATTACGGTTCTATGATTATCTAGAGCTGATTCAAAACAAATCACAATTTCAGAATGCTATGTATATTCATAAATGCAGGATCAGTATATATTGCATACAGCTGAGGACCAGAACATAAGCCTTCCCTTTGCTTGCAGGCACGGTATGGATTCGGTACCTGATTATTTATTGCGGAATGCGGAGTACATATGTGTATGTGCACAACATTTTAAAACTAATACTACCTCCGTCCCAAATTATTTGTCACATTTCTATTACCGAGGCAAAATATCAAGCTTTTTCAATTCATTTTATTTACATATTGGTAAAGAAATAAAAAATAAAAATTATATATCAAAAAACTACATGAAATGTTCTTCAAAATAAGAGGTGTCAAGAATATTTTATTTTATTAAATAACCAATGAAAACGTAGAAGTAAACAAAAGTTCCCGCGACTATTGAAAAAGCAAATGTGGCAAATAATTTGGGAAGGAGGGAGTACAATCAAACAGAGAGTACTTTTGTAATTACACTGTTTTTATTTTCATCTCCATAATGATTAGTTTAGTACTTTAGGACGAGCGTGTCAAGCAGTTCTTCTGTTATAGACAAGAAAATAGTCTGTGTAGTTTGGTTGACATGGAGAGGAAGCTGAACGTCACAACTTAACATTTGATTATTGCTTCCCATTGCAAGTTGTGATATGATAGAATGGCATCAGTTCAACCTTTTGTCCATCTCTAATGGAGCTAAAAGAGTTATTTTGGAAAATGGTTTAGCTTCGGGTAAATGAGTAGATCAAAATGACATTAAACTTTCATGGATTAGCTTCTTATTTACTATGAACTTTTGGGAAGTAAATGCACCAATGCTTCAACTCCATCAAGGGTCTATCAAAAGCATCCTCTTGGAGTCTTAGACTCTTAGTAAAAGGCTTTACATTCCATATCGCGATTAGTGTTCTAAGTCAAAACACGTACAAAGTAGAAATCTGGTGAAGGTTCTTTTACAACCCCTTGAGAAGAACAAAAAGTGAAAAACAAAGCAATTAGGGAACGCTGTTTAGTTTGTCATTATTACTTGAGAATTGAAAGGACTCTCCAACAAATACAGAAGCACTAGAAAATATATTTTCTGCTTCCTAGCTTTATTTTTGTCTTATCAAATATGAACTTGAAACTTTCTTCCTTTTCTAATTCCTGCTTATGTTATGGAGATTTTAATGTCTGGTAAAAACTTGGTAATTATGTCTAAGTTAATTATTTGGCATGCCGAAGGATGTTGTACTAGCTGTGCTGTACGTGTAAAATCTGGGCAAATACGACAGGCAGAAGCATTGGGGATTTCAAATGAACTTAAAGCAAAGGTATTGTTCATTTTCTTCTACTTGAATGGACTAAGTCTTACGTGTTATTATCTTACCTTACCCTACTTTACACGCTTCCTCAGTTTCATTTTTGTTTAGTATTGTGGAGTCTAGCAGGTGGCTTTTCTGAGCGCAACATGTTGGGTGTTAGGAGAGCGAGAACTTGAAAAGGAAGAGATTTTAGAATAAGTGTAAATGCATTTACAGAATTCGACAAAAACATAACACAAAAAACAACAACAACCCAGTGGGATCTCATGAGAGTAGGGTCTAGGGACTAGGGAGGATGTGTGTGCGCAGACCTTCAAGAGTAATCTACTCCATCCATCCCTTATATGGTCATTCCTCTTTTTGGACGCCCTAATTAATCTTTCCCTCTCCGTTGAAGGGAAGAATTGTGTGCTTCAAATTACTTTTTTGTCCGCTGCATAGCTCCCTTTTCTTCCTTTTTTCTTTCTTATATTTGTCACATTCTTTGGTTTCCCTGTCAATTCTCCATTTCTTTCTTTTTTGCCACTTTTCTTTGGTCATCTTCACAGCACTCTTTATGGCTTAGGAGAACACCATTAATGGCAGTTGGGAGACATACCCTGATTGATATGATACATTTTTGGGCTCACTCTCAGACCCCCATTGATAGAGGTTAGGGGACCTACTCCAGTTCTCTTGTCTGATGGCACCAGTGACACCCTCACCCTCTTGACCACCTTTGAAGGTAGGCTTGGCAGCTGGGAGATTTACTTTGATTGAGTGGCTTTTCATGCATCTAGATTTTAAGATGCTGTTATAAAGTTGTTGGGGTCATCAACAGCTTCACCACTGGATGCTTTATTAACATTAATGTGACTTTGATGGTGGAAGAGACGAAAACAACTGAAAATTCATTTTGCTGCCATTCATTGACTTCCCCCATTTATGCATCAGAATTTCATTGCAGAAGCATTCCTTTGATTTTTGTGAATATTATTGACTGCAGAGAGACTGAATTGTGGGCTGCTTGGAGGAGAAGAGAGGGATGGCTGTATAAGAATTTGAAGTCTAATTTTCTAGGGAATAGCGTTAGCAAGGGAGGGGTTGTTGATTAAAAACTTGAATATTATATGGAGGCCACCCCTAAAGGACCACGAGCCGCTGGGTATGGACTTCCAGACGTGCAATTGGGTTAAACGGGCCACAGGCCGTTGGGTACATACTCCATACAGAACACTCGGCTAAAGACAAACGAGCCGCTAGGAATGAACGTCTAGACGGACACCTTGACAAGCAAGGTGGGCCAAAACCTGCTCTGATACCATGATAGTTTTTTTTTTTGTATATGTTTGTTTATTGTGTATTGGGCTAAGTAAATCATAGGCCCGAGACTTTATGTATATATATCCCATGTAACTAATGCAAAATCAAGTTTCACACAAATAAGTTTCTACATGGTATCAGAGCAATCCTAGGGCTACTCGTCAAACCCTTTCGCTCACGTCATTGGTACACCGTCGTCTTCCTCGGCGTTCGTCGCTGGTTCTCCGTCTGGTGCGTAGGTGAAGGATCTCGTCTGGTCTTCTCTCGCTGGTCTGTCTCGTCGTTCGTCCGCAGCCTGTCCCTTGTCGATCACCATCATGTCCGGTGAAGTTGCGTCAAACCCTAAAAAGACAAGGTTGATTCATGATCCGTCGTCCATATATTACCTTCATCCCTCCGAAGGTCCGGGGATTATCAAACCTACCGACGAGCATGAGTTGTTTGCGTGGTGTGCTAATCATCAAATCATTTGTAGTTGGATTTTTAACAGTGTTGATGAGTCTATCCAACCGAGTATTGTTTCTCATTCAATTGCTTATGAGTTGTGGGATGATTTGAAGAAACGATATAGTTGCTCAAATGGGCCTCGTGTGTACCAGTTAAAGTCTGAGTTGAATGCCCTACGTCAGAAGGGTCAAAGCGTCGTTTCATATTATAATCAGTTTATCACTTTGTGGAACCAACTGTACGGCTCGTCTGACCTCACCGGGGGCTGCCGGTGTGAGGCTGCTGGGGTCACACGTACCCGTCTTGAACGTGACAAAACAGTGGATTTTTTACTCGGCTTGGATGATGAACAGTTTGGTAATATCCGTTCCCAAATCATTGGTACCGAACCGGTGCCTGATCTTGATCGTGCATATTTCTTGGTCACTCAAGAGGAGCGTCATCGCCATATCGTTCGTGCTCGTGATGATCGTACGGACTCGGTTGCTTTTGCCGCGAAACAAGACAAACGCCTCCCCGTACCGAATAAACCGTCTTGCTCACATTGCGGTCGTACTAATCACAGCATTGACACATGTTTTGAGCTCATTGGATTTCCAGCTCAATTCGCTCGTGGTGGGGGGCGAGGTCGTGGCAGCCGCGGGGGGTCTTTCTCTGGTGGTCGCGGTGGTCCTCGGCACGGCAGCAACACCTCTGCCGGCAGTGGGCAGACGGTCCAGGGAAGTGGTGGCAGTAACCCCGTCGGCAATGGGCAGGCAGTCCAGGGAGGTAACAGCGGCAGCCCCGCTGCGGTCCATGCGTCTGTTTCTGATTCGGGAGGAAATCTCAGTGATCAAATGTCTCGTTTAATGTCGATGCTGGAGGCGTCGGCATCTCATACGTACACTGGTAATTCTTCTTCTGACTGGTTAATTGACAGTGGCGCTTCACACCGCATGACAGGTTCTCTTGCTCATTTATTTAATGTTGAGGATGTCTCTCCTCACTCCATTTGTCTCCCTGACGGGTCTCATGTTCAGGCCGTCAAACAGGGAAGTGTGCATTTGTCATCTCGTTTGGTATTGCGGAATGTGTTATACGTACCAAACTTACATTGTCACTTGATTTCGGTTGGTTGCTTAATTCGTGACAATACTTGTTATGTAACTTTTAATGATCATTGCTGTGTAATACAGGACCGTTCGTCACAGATGGTGATTGGACAGGGTGATTTGCAAAATGGAGTGTATGTCTTTGCATCCGTTCCTGCGTCAGCACTCGTAGCCAATATCGATCCTTTTGTGCTTCATCAACGGCTGGGCCATCCCTCCGTCGATGTTCTTCCTTTTCTTGGTACTAATAAGACACAGTCTGTTATCCAACAATTACAGTCGTGTGAAATTTGTTTTTTGTCCAAACAAACTCGTTCTCCGTTTCGTGTTAGTGATAATAAAGCTGATGCTATTTTTGATTTAATTCATTGTGATTTGTGGGGGCCTTATTCACCATGCATCTCATCTGGGGCACATTATTTTTTGACTATTGTTGATGATTTCTCTCGGGCTATCTGGGTTTATCTGATTAAATCAAAGAGTGAAGTTACCTCTTGTTTACGCCGATTTTTCACAATGATCCACACTCAATACTCCAAAATAATTAAAATTGTTCGTTCTGATAATGGTACTGAGTTTCTCAATTCTCCTTTACGTCAATATTACGAGAGCTTGGGTGTGTGTATTCAAACGCCTTGTGTTGGTACCCCACAACAAAATGGGCAGGTAGAACGAAAACATCGTCATATACTGAATGTGGCCCGATCCCTCATGTTTCAGGCATCTCTTCCACTTGAATTTTGGGGAGAATGTGTCAAAACGGCTGTTTATTTAATCAATCGTACTCCCACAAAAATTCTTGGGGGTAAGTCACCACTTGAAATTCTTTCTTCCAAACCTCAAGATTTGAGCCATCTCCGGGTATTTGGGTGTCTTTGCTATGTCCATCCTGTTCCTAAACCCAAAAATAAATTCCAACCCCGAAGTGTTAAATGTGTGTTTCTGGGTTACCCTTACGGTACCAAAGGGTGGAGAGTCTATAATCTTGACACACATCGTTTCTTCCACACGAGGGATATTTCCTTTGATGAAACCGTATTTCCATTCGCCATCCCCACTCCCTCGTCTAGCTCTCAACCTCTCCTCTCTCCCTCCCCGTCCGATTTCACTGTTTCCCCTGTCCCTACCCCCCCTGCCGTACCGGTTACCCAGCCGGTGTCCACCAGTCCGGTTGTCCCAGTCACTCCGGCGACCCAGCAGCCCGCCGTCCAGTCCCAGTCCACGCCGGAGTCTGCCAGCCCCTCCACTTCTTCCGATGACGACGACAGTCCTGCGTCTTCCTCGGTGGAGACCACTTCTCCATCGCCCATACTTCCATCCCTTCCGCCTCGTACACGTCGTCGTCCGTCCCACCTTAATGATTATGTTCTCAATACCGCAAAGATTGTCACTCTGGCTCCTGTCTCCTCCTGTTCTTCACGATCTGGTACTCGGTTTCCTATTACTAACTTTGTTCATTATTCTAAGTTGCATGACAGGTATAAGGGTTTTCTTGGAGCCATTGATGCCACCTCAGTTCCCCGTAATTTTCGGGAAGCTGTTCAGTATGCCTCTTGGCGTGAGGCTATGGCCACTGAATATTTGGCTCTGGAGCGGAATCACACTTGGGACATTGTAGATCTTCCTCCTAATCGTCGGGCCCTTGGTTGTCAGTGGGTATACCGGACCAAATATCATTCGGATGGTACTAAAGAACGCGATAAAGCGCGTCTTGTTGTTTTGGGCAATCATCAGGAGCTGGGCGTTGACTACACTGATACTTTTGCCCCTGTTGCCAAATTGGCGACCGTTCGTGTTTTGTTGTCTGTTGCAGTGGCTCGTGGTTGGTTTGTTGATCAGTTAGATGTTAATAATGCTTTTCTTCATGGGGATTTACGGGAGGAGGTCTATATGAAAATCCCCCCAGGTTATACTCAGTTTTTTCCAGGGAAGGTCTGTCGTCTTCGTAAATCCTTATACGGCCTTCGCCAGTCACCTCGTAATTGGTTCACTAAGCTTCGTGTGGCTCTACGGCAGTATGGGTTTCGTCAGGCCCATGCCGATCATACTCTATTTGTCCTCCACCGTGGCCCTGATATGGTGGTTGTCCTTGTTTATGTTGATGATATTTTGGTGGCAGGTAATAATAGGTCCTTATGCACTTCCTTCAAGAAATATTTGGATGATTGCTTTCGTCTAAAGGATCTTGGTCCGGTGTCTTATTTTCTGGGTATCGAGTGTGCTCGCTCTCCTGTCGGTATGGTCTTGAATCAACGTAAGTATGCTCTTGATATTATTGATGAGGCAAATCTTATTGGATGCAAGCCCGTGGACACGCCTCTACCGGTCAATCATCATTTGGCTCGATCCACTAGTGCTGAGATTCGTGATCCTCAGAATTACCGTCGCCTTGTGGGCCGTTTGCTGTATCTCACTATTACTCGTCCTGATATTTGTTATGCTGTTCATACATTGTCTCAGTTTATGCAGGCTCCACGCCTTGATCATTGGAATGCTGCTCTCCGTGTTCTTCGTTATCTTAAGGGACACCCTGGTCAGGGTATCTTGTTGCGTAGTGACAGTAATCTTGCTCTTACTGCTTATTCTGATTCGGATTGGCCAGCTGTCCCCTTACTCGTCGTTCTGTCACCGGTTATTTTATTTTGTTGGGTGGTTCTCCGATCTCATGGCGCACTAAGAAGCAAACTACAGTCTCCTGGTCTTCTGCCGAAGCCGAGTATCGAGCCATGGCTCACGCATGTGCTGAAATCCGGTGGTTGCGTGGTATCTTGGCGGCCTTGGATGTTCCCTGTGTCGCGACTCCTCGTTTGTATTGTGATAACAAGTCTGCTTTATTCATTGCCGCCAATCCAGTTTTCCACGAGCGCTCGAAACATATCGACATTGATTGCCATATTGTCCGCGAATGTCTTCAGCGCAAACACATTGTTACGGCTTACGTTCCTACGCGTTTTCAGACGGCAGACATCTTCACAAAGGCTCTCTCCGGTCCTCTTTTCCGCTGCTTATTGTCCAAGTTGGGCATTCATGATATTCTTGCTCCAACTTGAGGGGGAGTGTTAGCCTAGTATATTTGTATATGTTTGTTTATTGTGTATTGGGCTAAGTAAATCATAGGCCCGAGACTTTATGTATATATATCCCATGTAACTAATGCAAAATCAAGTTTCACACAAATAAGTTTCTACACTATGTTTTGCCATTTGGTAAAAAAAGGTCTAGTTGCTTATTTTTTAAGCCAGAGTTTATTTATTTCATTGTAGCCTGAATTATCTAGGGGACCTAATTGCTGCATCACAAAGATTTAGAGGGCCTTCTCGTCCTTTTTCCCCATATTAAAGTACAGAGCATTAAATTAGCAATATTGAGTGTTTAACTTTGGTGAGTACCCTCCAGGGATGGATCTATAAAATCTCCTCTAGGGATGTGTCAAGTGCAGGAGGTCAATTTAAAGTTCTGAGTAAAACTCTTCCCAATTGAGTCTATATTCCTATACAGCTGATACAATCTCCTTGGAAGCTGCTCAGATTGTGAAGAGGGAGAGCTTCAAAAAAGGTTGTACAACCATTACTGGCAGTTTGAGACAGATATGTGACAGAGAGAGGAGAGAGATGAGGGTTGAAGAAAAAGATATTGTTTCATTTCTTTGCTAGTGAGAATACAGGGATACAGGCTTATATAGCCACACCAGATTAACAATCACTTGCAACAAACTAACAAATTCTAACCACTTGCAACTAACTACTTAATCACCTGTATCATACTACTCCCCTTAAAACAACCTAGCCCTCAAGGTTGGAAATTTGGAAGGTTCAAAGTTAATGTTTCAGCTCATTCCATGTAGCATCTTGCACTTATCGTCCTGCCCAATTGATCAACCATAGTGCCTTGGCAGAGTGGTTACATTTAACTGTCCTTTGAGCTAGTATAGCAATGGGTTGCAGCATAATGGTAGGAGCCGGCCCTTGTAACCAGGGGTATATGTGGTTGAGCTAGTATTGTCCCTCTGAAATGTTGCAATAGGAAGATAGGAAAGGCGTTGTGAATTTGTGCACCTTTAGGGAATAATAAATAATAATTTGTAAGCTAGCTTCTCAAGCCTAGCTTGTCTGGTTCCTAGAGATATTCCTCCACACCAACACATGACCTGATCCTATAGCCATTTTCCTTGTTCTCTTTATTACTGGTGACACTGGTCTTTGCATTACTCCGGCCCATGTTAGCTTGTTTGTATGGTTGAGTGTACTCTGGAACAGCCAAGACAATTGCAACAATTAATGCTCCTAGGCTCATTAATTGCATTATAGACTTCACTTGTCCATAAGAGTGCTTCTTCCTGAAGTATATCAGTCAGCGGCAGCTGAATTTTAGTGGTGTAAGCTCTAAGCTGTAGCAAAGCTGTCTAGACAGTACTCCAGGGGCATTTTGGGCTCTTGTGGTATCATTAATCTTTCACCCCCATCTATGAGTTGGCATTGCTACAGCAATGGTTCAAGATGAGGTATTTCAATCTTGTTTGGTCAGATTGATAAGCGAGTGGTTAGAATCAGAGTTCGCAATCAATCTTCAAGGATCGCAAACACAATTTAATCGACCAAGGATCTTGAATGCTCATATTTGAAGGCAATTGATTTGATTGGAGCTCAACAACAACAACAAAGCCTTATCCCATTAGGTGGGGTCGGCTACATGGATCAAACGACGCCATTGCACCCTATCGTGTATCATATCTGCTGTGAGATTGTTCACGCAAAGGTCTCCCTTGATCAATGCTTGCCAAGTCCTCTTAGGTCTACCTCTTCCTTTAGCCACATGCCTATTCACCATTTGATCAATCCTTCTCACAGAATGCTCTATTGGTCTTCTCTCCACATGTCCACCTAAGACGAGTTTCCACCATTTTTCCTACAATATGTGTCACTCCAACTTTAGCTCTCATATCTTCATTCCTTATTCTAACCATAAGAAGAGAAAAAATTCCTATCTAGAATCAAACTGCTTCGAAACCAAAGATGCAATCTCCTAGGAAGCTGCTCAGATTGTGAAGAAGGAGAGCTTTGAAAGAGGTTGTACATCCATTAATGGAGGTTTGAAACAGAGATGTGAGAGAGAGGTGAGAATTGAACTGTTGAAGACGAAGATATTATTCTATTTCTTTGATATTGAGAATGCTGGGAAACAGGCTTATATAGCCACACCAGATTAACAATCACTTGCAAAAAAATAACAAATTCTAACCACTTGTAACTAATTAATTAATCGCATGTGTCAAAAGCATAGCACTAGAGCCCATGTTTGTGCCCCGTTATGGCATGAAATACCCAGTAACTATCTTGATGGGGGTGTTCATGGGAATGAAGACAGTATGGTAAGCCTTGTCAATCCATTGAATATTACGGCATCTAAAATGCAAATATTTGTTTATATGGTTAAACTTTTTCTTAAGGAAAGATAATCTTATACTCCGTAATTATTTGTTGACACATTGAAGCACACCTTGTATTGGTAGACATTCATAGTGACTGTGTGTGGGCATGAAAAGTGAAAACAGACTATTGGTTGAATCACTTTTTTGCAATCCAATATTCTTGTTTGTGTGGCAATCCATTTTGCACAATTGACTTCAGTATTTGAGATGCTCTTACTCCTGATCTTTTCCATCATCTCCGATGGAGCCAAAATTTCACCATTTTTTGGCTTTGGGGTGTGATGGAATAAATCAAAATGGATCTCTAAACTATCCGTGCTTCTTTAATTAATGAAGTAGCAGTTAGTCAAGCAATGCAATTTTCGACGTTGAGCCGGGGGTCTCTTTGAAAACAGCCTCTCTACTTTCAAGTAGAGGCAAGGTCTGCGTACACACACCCTCCCCAGACCCTACTCTTGTGGGATTTAACTGGGTTGTTGTTGTTTACTCCTGACCTTTGCAAGAGTCATTAACTGCTCTTTGGGATGCTTTACAAGTCCTACGTATACATCACCAAACGTGGTGGTGGGTGTTGAGTATATAATCCCACATCAAACACCCAAGTTAAAAATAAGAACTAATATATAAGAACATGAGTTACATGGTATCAAGGGCAATGCTTAGGAGCTCAAGAAGAAGCCCGTCTATTCAACTAATTCAAGCAAGTGACAACTTGAGGATATGCAATCTTGTTATTGGTGATTTTGTCATAATGTGTTCTTCTTAAGCTGTAGGGATATGCACTTCTGTGTGTGGGGTTTCCATTAACTGACCTTGAAGTTGAAACTCAAGATGAGGATGAGGTAACTCATACTCGAAACGATCTCTCGTGTTTTTGCCCATAAATTTGTTATTTGGCTGGCCTACACAAGGGCAATGCTGTCATAAATATAAGATCTTGTCAACAACTCAAGCTTGTAGTTGATATGGAATGCGTACTTGATGAACGCTCTCATTTTTGTTTCATTTTTCTAGTCTCGTTTCATGTTTATTTTCTGATTTTGTGATATGAGAGACCTGCAGGTATATTGGCTCCAATTCGGAAGATATTTTGCCCGTGGATCTATTGTGAGTAAACATTTTCTTGAACAGATTTGAAAAATTAGTTAGCAAAAAGCCAAAATATACTCCCGCCCTCCCACCATTTTTGTCCCTTTTCTACCTTTTATGTCTATCCTATATTTTTTCTATTATACTTCTTCCATCATGTAAAACTTTTCTACTTTCTCATCTTACATGTCCATAAAACATTTCAATTTGGCCTAAATGACAAAATTGCCCTTACTTTTCTTATATCTAACCAAACCTACCCTATCTACATTCTACGCCCTACTCATTTTGACACTTCTTGAGCCCTATTCTTTTCAATTGTTGTCATTTCATTTTGGTCGAAGTTCTACCGCTTCCCCTTCCAAAAATCAAAACATAAAATGCTTTGCGGGATGGAAGAACTATCATATTTGGTCATTCTTATGTTACATTTTGACATCAATATCAATCACATAGTCTTATTTTTCTTGACTCAAAAAAAGTGGAATGGAGGGAATTATACTACTTCCTCCGTTTATTAAAAAAAGATGCACCTTTATTTTTTGTGCGGTCCACAAAATACTTATACCCCCACCTAAAATGTCTAAATGTGCACCCTTTTTCTTCTTAATTGCAGATAATTGTTTTGGGGGTATTTTTAGACATTTTAAATGAGGTAGAAGTATTTTGTAGGATGCAATTGAAAAAAATGTAGTGAGTATATTGAAGTAAAATTAGAAGATTTATTGCATGTGTTTGGTATGGGTAGGAAAGAGATGATTATGCCTTGGAATTAGCTATGGGAGATGAGTGAAAAGTGATCTAGAGGACCGAGGAGTTCAAGTGATCAAGTATGACAAATTCTCTTTCCCTTGCATTCTCATGTATCTACTTTTATCATAAATGGTAATGTAATTTAACTAAAAATAGTAATGTATTTTAATAAAAAATCATTTCAATAGATTTATTTTGTTGAAAATTATTAAAATTTTAATTTATTATATACAGTAAAAAATAATCACTTAAAAATACATACAGGTAAAATATTTGAAACATTATAATTATATTATGTCATGATGTATTTTATTTTTTTATTTTTCTACTTTAAAAATATCTTTTATTTGACTACTTGTTTGAAATTAAATTTATTTATTTTTTATCATTGTAAAACGTTTTTAAAAAATTGGGAATGCCACCCCTTAACCCCACCATACTCTTTAGCATAGTTTTAAAAACCGGACCGAACCGGACGGTTCGGACCGGGAACCGGCAAACCGGAGGTCTAACTGGTCTGGTCCAGCCCCAAAGACCGGAAGGTGCATCGAACCGGCACGAACCGGTAAAAACTGGGTAAAACCGGTCCGGTTAACCAGTGACCGTTTTTTTCTTTTTTTTTTTGCGCAAATGTCTCACAAAAATGGTTACCAACAGGTTTCGGACACGCAACCTACTGTCCACTGATTAGGCTATCTCCAATTTAGATATCATCCCTTTTGTTTCATGAAGAGATTATTAGCTATAATATTACATTCTTAAAAGTAAACAATTATACATATTCTAAAAAGACTTTTTTTATGTTTAAAAATTTTGAAAAAATTAATGTTGAAACTGTGATTCAAATTCTAAAATATAGATGCAATTGATTCTAATATGAACTTCATATACAAAAGTATTAACTCATATAAATATTTTTAAAATATTATGTAAATTATAAAATAAAAAATATAACCTCTTATTTTACGGAGTATAAATTTTTATTTGTTTAAATAAATTACTATATATATATATATATATATATATATATATATTGGTTTTGGTGAGAATGCAATCTTAGGAGAGAAATGAGAATGAATCTGGTGCTTTAGATTGTGAGATCTAAGGGTCAAGATTTCATCAAAATTAGATGCACCAAAATGGTGCGAAAATGCATCACGTCGAAATGCACCATAAACCTTCGAAAATGCACCATCTCAAAGCGCAGGATGCAATCTGAGCCGCACGATGCATCAGATCCGACGGCTAGATTTTATTCTCATTTCTCTCCACAAGGTGCATTCTCACGGGAACCAGCCCATATATATATATATATATATATATATATATATATATATATATATATATATATATATATATATATATATATATATATATATATATATATATAGAACTTTTAAAGATGCTTGAACCACCGGTCCGACTAGTAAACCAGTGAATCAGTACCTTGACCGGTTCAGTCCCCGGTCCGGTTCTGAAAACTATGCTCTTTAGTGTGTATTTGTCTCCTGTCATATTATTTTCTGGATCTGCCACTGGGTTTATTTATACAATGAGATCTCATTTACTCCCTCCGGCTCTAAACAAATTTTCACTTTCGTTTTTTCTGTCTCCAAATAAATTTCTCTTTTGTCTTAAAAAACTTGTTTTACTCCTCACTTTTTCATATCCTACTTATTACATCATACCTTTTTATTAATAATATATCTATCACATCTTACTTTTATACATCACATCAGGATATTTTTGGAAAATCAACACAAAAATATATTTCTCTCTTAAATCCTTAAAAAGTTAAAAATGGAACTTTATTTAGGGACAGAGGGAGTATTATATGTATTTTTTCTACTCCCTCCATCCTAATACTTTCTTCCTAGAGCAGTATTCTAACTTCACGGGAATTTGTATTTATTTGTGTTTTTTCATGGCCTATATGATAAAATAAAATATTCTTGTCACCACTTATTTTGTTGAACTTTTGATGTAGTTTTTAAATATGTATGTTTTATTTTTTATTTCTTTTTTCTTGAAGTTTTATTTCTATACCAATATTTAAATAAAATAGATGGAAAAAACTTGGGATTTTTTTCGTTTTGCACAACGGGAAGAAAGATATAGGACGGGGGAGTATGACGTATCACGTTTTAATGACTCGTTGACCAAGTCGATGACACTTCGCCTTCTGATGACATCTTTAGCTTTTGACCATTGATTCATATTGCTGTCGAGGAGTGAACCTTCAGACCCGAAACACAACATCTGATGTGCAGAGGGGAGCCGAGTACGATGTTTGGGCACTGCTTCACCGCTTATTAAGTCGCTTATCCCTTCTTCGGTCTAGCGTGTGTTGTGGGTATGTAGTGTACTTATTCATCTTGGGTCGAGCCTATTATGCATCGGCCCATGGAGGTTGAGCCCATATCTCCATCAGTACGTGAACCTTAGATTTATATAAAAGTTTATCTTGATATACCATAGCAACATTACATGGATGCATACATGATAGAACTTCATTATTCACTAACAATCACACTTTTAAGGAAAAAAATATCTCACATAATCTAACATTTTCATGTTTTTTAAAAGATAACTTCACTTTTCATTGTCAATGAAAATAATCTTACCTTTCAGAATGTATGTGGGTTTTTGGTCGCCGTTAAGAAGTTAATGGTCACTTAACAAAATTTTAGAAAAATCCATCTTTTTCATAAATAAATGAAAGATGCAATTACTTTAGTTTTTAATTATAATTTTAGATTTATGTTTTAAAAAATATAACAATATAGTCTTGTTAGAGATATCTCTCAACTTTTTTAAAAATACAACTATTTAAAAATCGTTTATCATGTTTTGGGAGAAAAGATTTGGAAACATATCTAAGTCATGTGAAGAAATTCTACCCATTGGTAAAGAAAAATGAATCTCTTAATTTTCAACGGCTAAATTTAGTATAATTAAACTGATTCAAGAACAAATCACATGAAGACAAAGTCTGGATTTCTCAAAATGAATAGCTCAGTCAGAATTCTTGAACAAACACAAGAAGACAAAATGGGTACTCAACTCTAGAAAGAGCTACAGTCCAGAATTCTTGAACAACAACCAGTGGCGGAGCCAGGAGTTAGCTTTCGAGGGGGCACAAGATTGAACTACGAGCCGAGGATCTCGAGTAACGTCTTTAGATTTTTTTTCATGACAATAGGAAGTGAAAAATATTATACGGAGAATATCTCAAATAATTCTAAAAATTACAAGAAAATTAAATTCTTAATTTATACGAGTATTATTTATACAATTTGATATTTTCCAAAGTTCTTAATTTAATCAAAACTCTAATTTAAATCAACACAAAACAAAACAAAACAAATTGACAGGGTATTAAAAAAATTTCTTAATGCCTATATATAGTTCTAAATAAAATTCACTCATAATCAGAAAAGCAGAATCAAAATCACAAACAAAATAGGGAGTATAAGTTTAACTTACGAAGCTTAGCATTGAGGATATTGTGTGGACTTGAAGTTTAGATAATCATTTTAAATAACGCCGGCATTTGGACAATAATTTAAAATAGAAAAGTTTAGGCAAAACGACATCGTTTTCATCCAGAAATTAAACAATTATAATCGACAACAATAATTAGAGATCAGAGTCGATAGATGCAGCTCCCTTGCACAGGTGACGGAGCAGTCGCTAGTGGGGCACTTCGTCGGTCAGAAACAAAATCTCCGGTCCTTGCACACTTCGTCAAAATCCCACCGAGGGGGGACGTGGCCCGGCAGGCCCTCGTTGCCTCCGCCGCTGACAACAACTAAAGGACGGATTTTGTGAAAAAGGAATCCTTCTTTAAACAAATGGGTATGTCCAAACACCTACTCCAAAGGAGAATACTCAATCTCACTCTTCGTTCAAATTGAAGCTAGCAAATGCAACAGATCTTTTATTCCCTTCAATGGATAGATTATCCATCCATACTATAGATAGCTCCCATGGAAGACTGAAGGAGATACGAGATACACAGCAGCAATAACAAACAACTCAAAAAGCTATCTCATTCATAGTTAGCCAAAAGCTTGATAAAGAGAGATTTCTAAACTCCTTATCCAGAAGCAAACTCCTCGTTCTTCCAAAGAGCTATAGTATAAAAACTTGAAGGTTTTCTTGCCTCAAGTATCACACCACGTTGAAGGATACAACTTTTAATCAAACTTCTTGATTAAAATGGGGTACATCAACTTTATCCTACAAGTTGATCTTGCAAGTCCTATTGTTCGAACCTTGTAGTTGTTGAAGAAGCGTGACCTTCGAAGGAACAACTAAGCCAACACGAGTGGAGTAGCAATATTGGACTTGTGAAGATATACTGTGCAGAAATTAACAAAAGTGTAATTGTTGTTTCATTATTCAACAACCAACTACATAGTGGATTTTGAGGACGTAGAAGGATTACCCCACCTTCGAACCTCGTTAAACTTTGCGTGTCTCTCTCTCTCTTATCCTTACTTATATTTGCACTTATATTAAATGTGAAACTAACCCATCCATATTGATTACTGCTCCAACAACTCACCAACTTCCGCAAACAATCTAAGTTCACAAGAACTTTAATGTAGATTAACACTCATTTCACGTTTTCAAAAAGAAAAGAAAAAGTTTCAAACTTGTAACAAAGTCTATTCACCCCCTCTAGACTTTGTATTTCACCACTTAGGAGACCACCAGAGCAGATATCAGCATATTCACGAGTCACCCTGCCAGAAATAGAGAGACAAATACTCATTGTATGACGAACAAGCTTGAGAGTGCGTGTACTGAGTTTTTTCTGGCAGGGAGTCTTTGCGATTGAGGCGATGGCGAGAGTTTCTTTTTTCTCCTTTTAGATCATTTTCTGCTTCTCTATCGTTTTTCTCTCTCTCAAACTCAAGAAAAAAAATAGATAAATGCAGCTTTGCAACTCTTCGATCACGAACACAAATTTTTTTTACAGAGATAGACGGATAGATGAAAGGGACTATTAGGCACGTTCATAATGTTTTGAGAGAATGAGAGGAATATTGGATGGCGTAGTCATGAATAATGTCGATCGACCATTGATGATGACGAAAATCGGTGGTGGCGCACGGTCTTTAAAG